AAACACTATGCTGAGTTTATAAGTCAATCACAAAACAACAAACACTGTATGATCTCACTTACATATTTAGAATTGGCAAATACATAGACATGAAAGTTTAGTAGTGGTTACCAGGGACTGGAGGGAGGAAGAAATGGGGAGTTACTGTTTAAGCAGTACTGAGTTTCTTTGGGGTGATGAAAAACTTTTGGGGAAAGATCATGGTGATGGTTTCACAACATGTCGAATGTAGTGAATGTCATCGAATTGTACACTTACAATGGTTAAAATGGAAATTTTTTTGTTATATGTATTTTACTACAATTTTTATTTTAATTCCAACAGGTTTTTTTTGTAGACATTAACAAACTGATTCTAAAATTCCTGTAGAAATTCAAAGGACCTCCAAGAACCCAAGCAACTTTGTAAAAGAAGAACAGAGTTGGTGGACTAACACAGTCTGATTTCAAGACTTATTGTAAAGTTAAAGTAATCAAGATGGTGTGGAATTAGTGTAAAAACAGAAAAACAAATCAATGAAACAGAAGAGTGTCCCGAAATGGACCTACAGAAATAAGGACAACTGATTTTCTACAAAGTTGTAAAAGACATTCAGTGGAGAAAAGATAGACATTTCAAAAAAAGATTCTGGAACTATTGGATACCAACAGGGGAAACAACAAAAACTGTGATCTATATCTTGCACCATCTACAAAAATTAAATTAAAATAGGTGACAGACCTAAATATAAAGCCTAAAATTATAAAACTCAGAAGAGTGAAAAAATCTTTGTGATGACCTTTGGTAGGCAAAGTTTTCTTCGATACAACACAAAAATCACAATCCAAATAAGAATGAGTTGATAAATTGGACTTCATCAAAATCAAAAACTTCTGCTCTTTGAAAGATACTGTTAAGATAAAGAAAAGACAAGCCATAAATGTAGATAAACTATTTGAAAATCATATATCTGACAGAGGACTTATATCCAGAATACACAAAGAACACTCAAACGTCAATAATAAGATATAAAACAACTAAATTTAAAAATGTGCAAAAAATTTGAACAGTCACTTCACCAAAGGAGAGATAACGATGACAAATAAGCGTCCGAAATGATGCTCAACAACAGTAGTAGTCATTGGGGCGGTCCTCAGAGCGTCAGGGCTGCTCCTGCTGCGCCTGCCACGGAGAATCCCAGCTGGGCGTGGCCACACGGTCTCCTAGCAACCAGAGAGGCCTTGCAACAACAAGCTCAGGTAGCTGTAGCAGGACTGCAGGGAGCCGCGGCCACCATGGCCTACCAGAGGCGGCGGTCCCGTCCAGTCTCGCTGGAACCCTTGCCCCCGGGCATGAACTGCAAGCCGTGGTACAAAGACAGACTGCCTTCTGAGTGCTTTGCAAAGTCCAAGGAGAGGCCGATGTTCCCC